CCCGAGCACGCCGCCCCCGCTCTAATTCTCCTCCCCTCCCAGGCTTGCGGCGCCAAACAGCTGATTGTGTTTGAAGTGGAGTGGCGATCGTGTGCTCGGGGAGGGGGCATAGAAATGATGTAAAAAAAATAATTGGGGGCACCGCTTTTTGGTGCCCCCAAATCTTGGCACCCTAGGCAACCACCTAGTTTGCCTAAATGGTAGCACCAGCCCTGCCCCCAACCCACCGCCATAGCCCTGAGCCCTCATTCTCGGCCCCACCCCAGAGCCCAGCCAGGGTCCTCACCCACCTGCACTCCAGTACTTGGCCCCACTCCTGACCCACTTCCTACACTCCGAGCACCTCGGCCCCACTCCCCCCACATGACTTTTGTTATGTGCGCCAGTATGGAGGTGATGTGGAATTCCACATACAGACGCTCCCCGGGTTATGCAAGTCCTGATTTATGCAAATCTGAATTTACGGAAAAAGTTCTGTAAACTAGAATTAGGAATTAATTTATTAATTTATTTATTTATTTATGCATGCGTGCGTAATGGTCGGAGATACGTTTCCAACTTACGCAGAATTAGAGTTACGCAAGGTGTTCCGGAACAGAATGCTTGCGTAAGTCGGGGAGCGTCTATGTGGAAGTGAGGTGTAGATTTCAAAGAAGGGCGTGCCCTGGCTGCAGACCCCAATTCATTTATACCAGTAGGGCTCCTGTTTATGTCCATCCAATGTGTTACTGTGCCATGGGGGACAAATGGTTTTTCAAGTAGGTAGTTCCTAAACCATTTAGGGCCTAGAAGCATCCGAAGAAGTGGGCTGTAGCCCACGAAAGCTTATGCTCAAATAAATTTGTTAGGTTCTAAGGTGCCACAAGTACTCCTGTACTTTTTGCAGATACAGACTAACACGGCTGCTACTCTGAAACATTGCATACACCCTAGATCAAGTGAGCAAATATAATAAGAGATTTGTAGTCACTTATTTGCCCAAGTTTCCTTATTTTGGTGTTTACATCATTCTCTTCGTTTTCCACATGCCCACAGACTAGGGGAAACCAGTGTAGATGAAACCTGAATTTTTCACAAGTGAAATCTCTTTTCAAAAAAACTTTTCAAGCCTTTTTTATGCATCATTAATAAGCAAAAAATACACAAATATGTTTGCCTTCTTTCAGGTCATCTTTCCATTCTACCTTGTGACATGTATAGTGTATGTGTGCATAGCAAAAATATCACTTATCTCAGGATGAAAAATGTTGGTCTGTTGCAGTTTTACCTGATTATTTTTTTTATTATTATTTTGTAGCTGCTGTCTGAAAACCCATTGTCTGAAAACGTATCAAGCAGGAACAATTCTACTTCAATAAATGAAGGAAAATAAAGAAAATTCCAGCCCTTCTGTAAATTTGGCAAACCTGGACCACACAAAACCATGTTGGTACTGGGATAAAAAAGATCTGGCACATACACCATCACAGTTAGAAGGACTTGATCCAGCTACTGAGGCACGATACCGCCGAGAAGGAGCCAGATTCATATTTGATGTAGGAACACGTCTGGGACTGTATCCTTTTGAGTTGATATTTTCAGGGTATGATTGTAGCATTATGAATTAGAAAGTCCAGAAAAAATATACCAAGAGTGGTCCTTGTGCATTTGTGTCATTAATTTGTACAGTGTAGTCTTATTTCAAAAACATCACTAAGATTTTTAAATTAAACATCTTCGATGTTTAATGTTTTTCTACTTGAACATTTTCTTCTGTTAATTGAATCCTAGTTTCTGTAACAAATGAACTGTCTTAACTAATGAAGTGACAACATAAAGGGGAAAAGTGGCCTGTCAGTTGTGTGGTGATTTTAGAAATTAAAAGCTCATGGTCTTTCCCTTCAAGGCTCTGTTTAGGCATGTTTTTGAATTTACATCTTTTCTTGTGCATTTTGCCCCTCTGTATATTCTCTCCTAATTATTCCATCTTTTTCTTCTGTTCCCAGCTTCTTCTCTTCTTGCCATTCCTTATACTTGGAATTACTTTCCACTTTTGTATACCAATAATCCCTTTTCTCCTTCAGTTCCTCATTAAAAATTTTAGCTTCTATAGTTTTGATCTTCACTAAAGTTGGATTTCATTTCAGCTACATCAGCCCTTAACAATCACATTTTAATAGAGAGTTAAGGGGAAGCAAAATCCACCTGTCAGCCACAGGGAAAGTCCTTCTCTTGGCTGTACTCCCAGTCTGAGTTGAAACAATGGTCTCAATGCCTCCACCACTTGCTTGGGTGTTGTGATCATTAAATTCCATGACTCCTCTCCAAGCCTTCCATTATTGCTGGCTTTTCCAAGTCAGGTGCGGGGCTTACATCATGCAGATGGTGTTATGGACCCTCTGTACCAGGGTGAACTTTACCTTGACTCTGTAGCCATGCCTTTTACACTGTTCTAGATATCTACTGCACCTGAATTAGATTTAAAAAAATGCTCAGGGCAGGAACCTTGTGTTTTTTGTGGGACTTTTTGGGTAAAACATCACACTTGCTTTCAAAACTTTAAAAATATCAGCTATTAGAGAATCAGTCAGCTTATTTGTTCAGAACAGGCTTTTTCTCTGACTTGGCTTCCTCTCATGTGTCTTGTGTTTTGAACTTGATTTATACTGTTTAAATCCTTATTGTGTAGCGCAGACACTATGACACTTTGGCAACTGGAATAATTTATTTTCATCGATTTTATATGTTTCATTCCTTCAAACAGTTCCCAAGATATGTAAGTATTTACAGCATTGACTTCTTAATTCCATGGTTGCTTTAAGTATGCAATATTTAAAGTGATGGCAACTAAGAAAGGCTGATGGCCTCATTTCTTAACTAAAGCCTCATGTTTATGAATAATCCCCTGAAATATCTTGCCACGGTTATAGTTTATACATATTGTTTCTTTAAATGTTTAAGCTTTCTGTTAATATTGTGCTTTTCAGAGTTGCAGAAGTATGTCATAAGGATAATTTGGAGTATTTTAATTACATGTGATTGTTTCTACATTAAATTGTAAATCAAACAAGACATGCTTTAAACACAAAGTATTACATAGTTCTCATATTTTCCATATATTGAAAATGTTTTATCTTGCTGTTACAATTTTGTTATGTTAATGTAATTGAATCTGTAACAACTTGTGATTTGCAGCAGGGGCTAAGTGGTCAAAGAAAAGGCAAATTACATGTATAATTACGTTTTTAAACCCCCTTGTGAGGCAATGCTCTCTATGCCAAGACAAAAACCTCTGGTTGTATTTCTTTAAATAAACTAAAATGCTACTTAATAGACTTCCAAAAGGTTGTATTTACTTGGAAATAGGAAAAGCTAAATTGTGCGTATAATCATTGCCTGAGCTTCTAATTCTATTAACTATTCTCTGAGAAACAGCATCTCATAACCTGATGGTTGAAACTGACACTTAAAACACAATTATTTTTTAGTATATAGATGCGGCATTGTAAATATAGACGTTCTTACAGAATTTTCTTTGTTAGGTGACTGGAGCCTGCTGTCTCTTCCTGGCAGGAAAAGTTGAAGAAACTCCAAAAAAATGTAAAGATATAATCAAAACAGCTCGTAGCTTACTAAATGATGTACAATTTGGACAGTTTGGTGATGACCCAAAGGTAAAATAATTTATTCATGCTTATGATTCTTTTACTTTTAATTTAATTTTAGCAGAGTTAATACTTGCGCTATATATTTCCAGGCTTTATTTCTCTTCTGAGCTAAAAGGAAAATTGGATTCTCATTTGAAAGGGCACTGTCAACTTTATTCTTCAAGTTAGACAAATAAACCTAAAATTTAATTTTCTGGTATATTGCCACATATATAGTCTAACTTAAGTGTGTTTCAGCTTTCCTGTTGCTTATAAGGTGTTTTCAGCAAAAGAGAAACGGATTGATTATACAGTGTAAACTGTGAAATTGACTACATAAAATGCTGTCAAATTCACAAAGTAAACTAACTGGGGGGAAAAATTTGGCACTAGTTTCTTTCAGTTGTAGTAGTTGTTAATTTGTAACTATAGTATATACACATTTTTCAGAGAAATATGACTTATTTTTAATTAGATGCCATTGCTTTAAAAGATTATGGGAGATCTTAGTTTTTTAAATCTCACTATGTGCTGTTGGTATTACTTTTCTGAGTAATGCTGCTTATATTTCATAGTTTATTTAGCAGTTAGCTTTGCCATTGCATTTGCTGTGATAGCTTCAGTTTTCTTAATTGATACTCAGCTGTCACCATCAATGGCCAAGATTTTTTTCCAAGTGACTAGTGATTTTGGATGCTGCAGTTTTGAGGTACCTTACAGGGGCTGAGTTTTCCATAGGATGGGTGTTTAACACTTTTTCTGAAAAGAAGGCCTCTTTAAAGTGTCAAGATGGGTATACCACAACTGAGGCAACCAAAACCCCTATTCACTTTTCAGAAACTTAGCCCAAGTGTTTCTCTTGTGATCTGCCATCCCAAATGTAGAACAGCTCACCCCAAAATGGAGTTTTAATCTGTTTTAGGCATTTTAGATAATGAGTTGGGCGAATGGAGGTGAGAATATGGATTCAGTTGCTTCATTCACTGAAGTAAACACTTGGTAAATAACCCTAAAGGTTAATAGATTAGAATATTTAAGAGAAACTAATAGATTCAAGCATAATTAGGTTCAGTAATAACTCATATTGTGCAGTTAAATCTCGGAATGCTAACATTTAAAGTAGGCGATTCAGCCTCTGAAAGGTCAGGGCCATCAATGGTAGGGAATAACTGAAGAGAAAGCTAGGAGGTGAATTGATCGCAGTCTTATAAATACCTGCATGGGGAAAGATAATCTAGCAGACAAATGCATAATAATATCCAGTGTCTGGAAGCTGAAGCGAAACAAATTCAACTGGAAATAAGGTCACATTTCAAATGAGCATCAAATGTTCATGAATAAAAGAGGGAATTATATATTTTGTGGTTACTTTGTCATATTGTCTAGGAGGAAGTGATGGTCCTGGAGAGAATCTTATTACAAACAATAAAGTTTGATTTACAAGTGGAACATCCATACCAGTTTCTTCTCAAGTATGCCAAACAACTCAAAGGTAAATATAGAGAGTTGCATTGCTGAACAATATTGAACAGCTCTTAAATAGCACACTTGATTTGTACTTCTTTAAAAACTTTAATCTATTCACCAACCATCTGAGAGAAATATTAACCATATTAACCCAGAAGGAAACTGGGACAGAGGTTGTGACTTCCAAGCCCACAGAGTGAGAACTAGTAGAATTTAGGTATTCTTGGCTTGCAGTCCTCAGCTCAAACCAATCTTTAAGATGTTAAAGAGATCATGTCACTTTTCTCAGTGTATGACTATTGTGCATAAATAAGGCTATGTTTTAGTCACGGGTATTTTTAGTACAAGTCATGGACAGGTCACGGGGGGATGGGAGGGCCGAGAGGGTTGGCGGGGCTGGCAGGGGCTCCCTACCCGGCTCCGTGTCCCTGCAGCTCCTAGGTGGTGGAGGGGCACAAATGCTGGCTGCCGCGGCTCCCATTGGCCAAGAACCGCAGCCCCTGAACAAGCACCAGTTGCTGCAGAAGTCATGTAGGTCATGGAAAAGCCATGGAATGGAGTATCCATGATAGACTCACAGCCTTATGTATAAATCATTTGAATCCAGTGGCTTAAGGGTTTTCTTTTCCTGGCCTGGTATAACGTGGAAACTTCCTTGATGTTTTCCTGTCTAGGCCTACTGGCCCAGGTGAAAAGTTCTTTTCCTGCTACTTGTTCAGTCTCCAAACAATAACTATTTAACTTTAAATTGCCTTAAAAAAAATCATTGAATTTGTTCCCACTTACAAATCAATTCTGGGTCCCCCTACCATTTTTCAAAACTCAAAAAATTCAGTGCGAAAGGCAAATGTTTTGAGGGACTTTGAGCATATGAAAACATGAGGTTAGAATGTCAACAGGTTTGCACCCGTAACAGATCAGTTTTAGCTCATATACCTGAAAAGATTACAATATTACAAAGATACCATTTTTAAGAAGTCTTTCCATTTATAATAGTTTATAAACCTAAATTTTCTGAGCTTTTTAGTTTAGTAAACTTTTTTGTTTCTCTCTTTCAGGGGATAAAAACAAAATTCAGAAACTGGTTCAAATGGCATGGACATTTGTAAATGACAGGTAAAAAAAAAAAGTTTCCAGACATTTAAATATTTCAGCTAGTAACCATCTCTTAGTTTATTCTGGACCCTGACCTCTTTCTCCGTCATGCACAGTCTTCATGCCCATTCCAAAGGCAGTTCATGTTTGTCCATGGATCACAGGTTTGGCCATGCTCCTTCTGCCCTCACTCCAGAGCTTTTACCTGAAGGGATTCCTCTTATTCCAGGATAAAATTTAGATCAGGAACTTCAGGGGAAAGCCCAGATCAGGGAATATGGTCAGTCCTTCCTTCCAATCCATACAGTGAGGCCAGAAAGGGCATAGCCAAATCCCAGAGCTTTCAATACCTATAGGAAGAGAGGTGTGAACCAATGTCTTGGCCTGGGAAGAGGTCCCAGAAATATAGTCTTTGTGCAACATATTTTATATTTTTCATTGTGCAGTGCAGTAAATAGGTTCAGGTATAAGTGGTGTTTGTCTGTCTCATCAGACAACACTTGGAAAAAAACCCAGGCAAAATATTTGATTTTATATTGTAACCAGCTGTAGCTCAACTGAATTTAACTATGGAAGATGATTATGTAAAAAATAGCACCTTCTTAGTAGATGTATTGAGTCATTTCTGCATACCTCAGACGCTTAAATAAACTTAGTGTACTACACTTCTGTTAGCACTGTAGAGCCAGCACATGAGAGAGAACGAGCTAGGTAATTTCTTGGTGCATCAACACAATTGTGTAATTACTCTCAAATTTCTAACTAGAGTGCTTAACTTTAGAAATCCAAAGAAAACTGGTCTTGATCAAAAGCGCTAAGCACCTATGATTCCCATTGATTTGAGTCAGACTTGGGGTGCACAGCACCTCTGAAAATAGGTCGCTTTTACTCTGGTGCTTAATTTTAGGTATGCAAGATTAGGATTTAGGCTCAAATTCTCAGTCTTGAACAACCCAAATGGAGATAATTGGTTTACATGGGTGATGGTGGTGACATAAGTTGAAGAAAGGTTTCTGGCACAGGTGTGACTGTACCATTTGGCTTGCATCATCTTTATTGCAGATGGTGATACATAGGAAGGAAAGAATCTAGCTTGACTTTCAGATCCCAAGTTGAATATGCAGCATGGCAGTTGAGAAACTTTTTTCTTGTAAATTCAGAAAAATGGATAGTATTGTGGAGACAGCACTATACTTGGAATTCAGAAAAATGCCCTTGGAAAAACTACTGGACTTACACAGCTTTGTTCCATACTGTCATCAATGTGGATTTAAACTACGGCTACTTTGGTTAAGATTTTCACTTAGCCCTTAAGATCCTGCACTATGCTTAGTGCACACTGAGTGGTGAGACTTATCCCATGGGACCTTGTGAAAAATAATACTATGCAACATCCATTAAAGGGTTTCAGAGCAGAGGGCTAGGCATCCTGTGTTAGCTGTAATATAAACATAGACCTAAGTGCCATGGATGTAGAAGCAACATTAAGAAAGGAAATTCCAATCCAGTTTACTCCTTGAAAGGTTTTTAAAGCAGATTGCGAAGAGCTAGAAAAGGATCTCACAAAACTGGGTGACTGGGCAACAAAATGGCAGATGAAATTTAATGTTGATAAATGCAAAGTAATGCATGTTGGAAAACGTAATCCCAACATTACATAAACAATGATAGGGTCTAAATTAGCTGTTACCACTCAAGAAAGAGATCTTGGAGTCATTGTGGATAGTTCTCTGAAATCATCCACTCAATATGCAGCGGCAGTCAAAAAAGTGAACAGAATGTTGGAAATTATTAAGAAAGGGATAGATAATAAGACAGAAAATATCATATTGCCTCTATATAAATCCATGGTACTCCGACATCTTGAATACTGCATGCAGATGTGGTCACCCCATCTCAAAAAAGATATATTGGAATTGTAAAAGGTTCAGAAAAGGACAACAAAAATTATTAGGGGTATAAAACGGATTCTGTATGAGGAGAGATTAATAAGACTGGGACTTTTCAGCTTGGAAAAGAGGCGACTAAGGGAGGATGTGATAGAGATCTATAAAATCATGAGTGGTATAGAGAAAGTAAATAAGAAAGTGTTATTTACTCTTTCTCATAATACAAGAACTAGGGGCCACCAAATGAAATTAATAGGTAGCAGGATTAAAATAAACACAAGAAAGTATTTTTTTCACACAATGCACTGTCAGCCTCTGCAACTCCTTGCCAGAGGGTGTTGTGAAGGCCAGTACTATAATGGGGTTCAAAAGGTAGCTAGATAGATTCATGGAAGATAGGTCCACCCACGGCTATTAGCCAGGATGGGTAGGAATGGTGTCCCTAGCCTCTGTTTGCCAGAAGCTGGGATTGGGTGATAGGGCATGGATCACTTGATGATAACCTGTCTGTTCGTTCCCTTTGGGGCACCTGCCATTGGCCACTGTCAGAGGACAGGATACTGGCCTTGATGGACCTTTGGTCTGACCCAGTACGGCCGTTCTTTTTATGTACCTTTTGCATTTTTAGTTTTGAAACTACTAAATGACTCACCTCTATGGGTACACTCTAATGCTTTGTGTACTTCAGTCATCCATAAACTAATGAGTTTTTTTTAACATAACTGCTATTAGTACCTTGTGCTAAACAAAAGAACCCATAGTGAATTGGTCAATGAATGAATGGTGTGAAATGTGTTGTAACTAGTTGGCTAGATCACTGAATGGCAGATTTTCAGACTTTTTGCTTGAAGAGCTTATATTATAGAACTTAGCAATGAGTTGAGTGGTTACCTAAGAAAAGCTGGCTCTTGGGTTTTAAATTGCAAATCAAGCTGAGTATTTCATGATTAATCTTAACAATTGAGAAGTAGTGGTAAAGTCAACTTTACTGTAGCCTTCACTACTACATATGCTAATTGGGACAACTTTCTAGACCTCTTAGAACTAAAACTTATGCATTGGAATATTTGGTCTTAAAATTCCCATGATTCATTGTTTATATTTAAGTGCATTTTATCCAAAATAATCCACAAATGCTTTACAAAATAAACATAGAAATCCTTTCACCTGCCATTGAAATAAAACCACCAAACAACTGTTTATGACAGAACTTGAAGAATATCATATACAACTGATGTTACAGGAGGAATTTTTAGATAAACAGAATGTAATCACCCAAACTGGAATCTGGTGCAGCCAAATTCCCTCATGCTTTTGTGAAAACTTTATCTTGGTATGTCAGACTCTTTTTCTAAATAAATTCCTGAGAACAAGTATTTTAAATCTGTTCATGTTGCTTTTTGTTGCTGCAAGATAATAGTGCTTTGCACGTTTAAAAATCAAATTACTATTACATCAAAGTACTATTAACAAAGATCTTAGTTTGGTAAATTAGTTTGTGACAGGGGAATCCTAGTTTTGTTAATCCAAAATTATCTGAATGAGATGTTAAAACTTAACTGTCATCTGCTTTGTCTCAACAATACGTTGTAGATATCAGGTATTCAGACTTGTGATGCAGCTATCTGGGTTATCTTAAAATGACTGTTCTTTAATATTCTAGTCTCTGTACTACGTTGTCACTGCAGTGGGAACCTGAGATCATAGCTGTTGCAGTTATGTATCTGGCAGGCCGTTTGTGCAAGTTTGAAATTCAGGAGTGGACATCAAAGCCAATGTACAGAAGATGGTGGGAGCAGTTTGTTCAAGATGTACCTGTTGATGTTCTGGAAGGTACCAGAAATATTTTTGTCACACTTTAAATACTTGGTTTCTTTTTTTAATTTGAGGTCTGGACTAGGGTTGTCAACTTTCTGATTGCAGAATAAGTGCCGTGGTTTCCGGCCAATGGGAGCTGCGGAGCCGGCGTTTGGGGCGGGGGCAGTGCGCAGAGCCTCCCTGTGCCTAGAGGCCAAAGGACATGGCAGCCGCTTCCGGGAGCCATGGAGAGCCAGGGCAGGCAGGGAGCCTTCCTTAGCCCTGCTACTCTGCCGACTGGATTTTTAACCGCCTGGTCAGGAGCCGCCAGGGTTCCTTTTTGACCAGGCATTGCAGTTGAAAACTGGATGCCTGGCAACCCTAGTCTGGACAGTTTCTCCCTTAATCATCAACCTTGCTTTTAGGCCAGGGTACTGAAGATTATCTGTTTACTTAAGCTTTCCAGAGGGGAGCTGAGTAATATTGTGACGAGTTGGATCACAGAAACCCCCTTGGAAACTGTCAACTGATGTGCCAAGACTACTTCTGCCCCTGCTTTCCCTGCCAGCTCAGGACCCCAGAACCCTGTCTTGCTGAGCCAGACACGCCCGTCTGCTCCAACAAAGACCCAGGGTCTGAATTACTTGCCCCAAAGCTGCAGACTTGCCTGAAAACAGCTTACAGAAGTGTTCTTGTCTTTAACACTCAGATGCCCAACTCCCAATGGGGTCTAAACCCAAATAAATCCATTTTACCATGTATAAAGCTTATACAGGGTAAACTCATAAATTATTTGCCCTCTATAACACTGTTAGAGAGAGATGCACAGCTGTTTGCGTCCCCCCCAGGTATTAATACATACTCTGGGTTAATTAATAAGTGAAAAGTGACTTTATTAAATACAGAAAGTAGGATTTAATTGGTTCCAAGTAGTAACAGACAGAACAAAGTGAATTACCAAGTGAAATAAAATAAAACATGCAAATCTAAGCCTAATACAGTAATACAACTGAGTATAGGTAAAAATCTCTCCCTGAGAGATGTTTCAATAAGTCTCTTTCACAGACTGGACGCCTTCCTAGTCTGGGCACAGTCCTTTCCCCTGATACAGCCCTTGTTCCAACTCAGGTGGAAGCTAGGGGATTCCTCATGATGGCTCTCCTCTTTGTTCTGTCCCACCCATTTATATATCTTTTGCATAAGGCGGGAATCCTTTGTCTCTCTGGGTTCCCACCCCACCCTTCTCAATAGAAAAGCACCAGGTTAAAGATGGATTCCAGTTCAGGTGACGTAATCACATGTCACTGTAAGACTTCATTACCCACTTGCCAGGAAAACTTACAGGTAAAACGGAGCCACCTGCAGTCAATTGTCCTGGTTAATGGGAGTCATCAAGATTTCAAACCACCATTAATGGCCCACACTTTGCATAATTACAATAGGCCCTCAGAGTTATATTTCATATTTCTAATTTCAGATACAGGAGTGGTACATTTATACAAATAGGATGATCACACTCAGTAGATCAGGGGTCGGCAACCTACGGCAAGTGTGCCAAAGGTGGCACGCGAGCCGATTTGCGACGGCACGCAGCGGCGGGCTGAGTGGTTCAGCCCACTGCCGCTCTGGGGTTCTGGCTGCTGCCCCGTTGCCAGCCGGGGTCCCAGCCGCTGGCCCCACTCAGGACCCACTGCCGGCCTGGGGACCCCCAAGGAACCCTAGGCTGGCAGCTGGCTGAGGAGGCCGACGGCTGAGACCCCGGCTGGCAGGAGCCGGCGGGCAGAACCCCAGAGTGGCGGCGGGCTGAGCGGCTCAGCCCGCTGCTGGTCTGGGATCCCAGCCGCTGGCCCCGCTCAGCCCATTGCCAGCTGAGTGAATGGAACCCCAGGCTGGCAGAGGGCTGAGTGGTGCCAGCGGACTGAGCCGCTCAGACGGGCAGCAGACTGAGGTCCCAGCCACCGGCCCCGCTCAGCCTGCTGCCCGTCTGGGGTTCCATTCACTCAGCTGGCAGCGGGCTGAGCGGGGTTGATGGCCGGAACCCCAGACCTGCAGCGGGCTGAGCGGCTCAGTCTGCTGCCTGTCTGAGGTCCCAGCCGCTGGCACCACTCAGCCCCCTGTCAGTCTGGGGTTTCATTCACCCAAACCGGCAGCGGGCTGAGCGGGGCCGGTGGCCGGGACTAAGCTAAGCCGCTCAGCCCACTGCCAGTCTGGGGTTCCGTCCGCCAGCTCCTGCCAGCAGAGATCCCAGCCACCGGCCCCCCCCTCAGCCCGCTACCAGCCTGGTGTTCTGCTCACCCAGGCCGGCAGGAGGCTGAGTGGGGCCGACGGCTGGAACCCCAGACAAGGATCACACTAAATTCATAAGATCAGCATTTTTATTTTATTTTAAACGAAGCTTCTTAAATATTTTAAAAACCTTATTTACTTTAAATACAACAATAGTTTATTTCATAGAATCATAGAATATCAGGGTTGGAAGGGACCTCAGGAGATCATCTAGTCCAACCCCCTGCTCAAAGCAGGACCAATTCCCAACTAAATCATCCCAGCCAGGGCTTTGTCAAGCCTGAACTTAAAAACCTCTAAGGAAGGAGATTTCACCACCTCCCTAGGTAACCCATTCCAGTGCTTCACCACTCTCCTAATGAAAAAGTTTTTCCTAATATCCAACCTAAACCTTCCCCACTGCAACTTGAGACCATTACTCCTTGTTCTGTCGTCTGGAA